AGAGCCAGTTAGTCACTTGGACAACTTGCTTCTTTTAGCTTTGTTTTCAAGTCAGTCTTATGCTTGGGCCTCTAATCTTTTTTTTTTTTACATAGATCATATGTTTATTAGTCAGATGTGGCAGCTGTTCAGGGTCATGACTAAGGTCACAGAGTTTAGAATGAGAGTCATGTTAAATGGAAGTCTAGTCCTGCCCCACCTCTTACCAGTATATTACCCGGAAGATGCTATTTCATTATCCTGTTTCAGTTTCCTCATAAGCAAATTAATTACAGTACCAACCTTATAGAACTAAATGTGTGTGTGCAAAATGTCATAATTACATTTACATATATGGTAGCTATAGTTTTGATCTGGAATATCCTCTTAGGGCTTGAGTGTTAAAGGTTTGGTCCTAGTGTGGTGCTATTGGGAGATGGTATAATGATTAATCTTCATCATTAATTTGACTGGACTTATCACCTAGGAGATTCAACCTGAATTTGGATAGCACCACTGGGCTAGAGTGCCAGACTGACTGGATAAAAGGGAAAGGAAGGAAGAAGTAAGCTGGGCATGAACATTCAGCTTTCTCTGCCTCCTGACTTGTGTGTGATGCGACAAGACACTTCACACCAATGCTGTGATTTCCCACCTCTACAGACTCTATCCTCTCCAACAATGAGCTAAGACAGACACTTTCTTAAGTTTTACTGTAATTGTATTTAGTAATATTGAAAGTCAAGCTTTTTTAATAGAATAAGCATGTCTCCACAGTAAAGCACTGATTTACTAATTTTTAAAAATATTTTATTATTTTTATTTTATGTCTATGCATGTATTCCCTGCATGTATGTAAGTGCACCCATGTCGTGCAATGCCTGTGGAGGACAGAAGAGGCTGTCGGATCCCCTGGAACTGGAGTTACAGACAATTGTTAGCTGCCATGTGGGTGCTGGGATTCGAACCCAGGTCTTCTGCAAGAACAGTCAGTGTTCTTAACTGCTGAGCCATCTCTCCTGCCCCTGATTTACTAATTTTTAAAGATAACTTTCTTCCCTCACATACTTTTAAGACTGACCTCACTGGGACAGGATAGCAGGGTACCCTAGCCTCAAAGACTGCTTGCTACAAATTCTTTTCTTCAAACACATTGCATTACTTCCTTTTCTCTTAATGAATTTCAAGATTCTTTGATATTATTGTTTGGGATTTCATACACAAATATAATGCATTTTGATAAAATCCACCGCACTCCCTCCTTTCTAACTCTTCCTATACCCCTACTTCTCCTTCCCAGCTTCATGGGTTCTTTTTTAAAGTAAATTTATTTTTTGAGAATTTCACACGAGTACATTGTTATTTACATCATTTTCAACCTTTCATCTCCCACTGAACACCCCCAACTTCCCCACTTCCTTTCAGATTCACAACCTCTTCTTCTATATAGTTTTATAACTATATAGGGTAAGATGATGAGATGGCTCAGCAGTTAGTAAGGTTTATTGTTCTTGCAGAGGATCCGAGCTGGGTCCCCAGCATCAATATCACCTGTAACTGGCCCCTGGAGTCACCTGCACTCATGTATACATACCCACAAACAGACACACATAATTAAAATTAACAAAATGAATCTTTGTATGAAAAGATAGCTCTATCGATCCTTTTAGATGCTAATTTCAGCAAGTTGCTGAGCACATGAATTTCTCTTTGTAAAAAGAATGTTAAGACTGTGATTTCTTAATGCAGGCTCTGGTTTGGACCAATGAACTATCTCTCAAGAAGATGATCTCGTCTCTGAATATTTATAATTTTAATGAAATCATGCTCCACCTTCCAATAGTCAAGTAAAGAGAATAATAAATGCTAAGTTAGTGTACAAGGAATTTAGTATAATCACTTTTCCCAAAGCATTTGTGCTAAAAACCTTTAGAAAATCCATGGAAAACTGTATAACTATTTATTTCTTTTTATTTATTGGTCTTTAATATATTTCTTCAAAGTGACTCACCTACTATGCTTGGTATTAGCTATAAAAATGGAATTCAACCCTGTTCCTACTTTCAAGGCATTCAGCATCTTGGGGGAGGACAGGCATATGAAATATGGAGAGCAAAAAAAGTGTTATTACAGGAGTGTATTCAGCTTACTATGGAGGAGAACAAGGCAGAAAGGCTTCCTCATGGACTCAAGAGCCACTGAAACAATGGAAGAGAAGGTTCATGCTTCACATTAAACAATAGACATCTTCACCCCAAAATGTAATCAGGTGAGCAAAAATCATCAGGAATTCCATGAGAGCTGACAGTAAAAGTATCA